TGTACAGTGTATATATGTCCATACGGCTATTTTTTTTTTTTTTTTTTTAATTTCAAAAGAGAGTGTACCCCTACACTTTGCAGGTACGTGGTGTTTGTTCGAGTCTGATGCGGCTTTTTCGAGCTTAAGCTGGTTAATCGAGGGGTTGGGGACCTTTCAAAGTGTTTCAGAATCAGCAAAATATTAATCTACGTTCGTTATCGAAGGGTCATTGCATTTGAATGTCATTAAAATGAAGCGCATACACCGTAGATAATCGAGGTGTTCATGAACTTTCAATTTGGGTGCAACAATCACATTTTTGAGACCATTTGTTTAATCACTCAGAAATAACTGTACTATTAAGTTAAACTGAGACTTTCGTGCAAGGATGCCTCAAGGGTTGAAAGAACCTGGCTGGTATCAGCTCATTCCTAGGAAGTTCCACGAACTTATCGGCATTATTTTTATTGATTGTTCCATCCCTTCGGTAAAAATTTTGGAAAATTTTTAATGAATTTCCATCTGGAGAGCTATTTCGTTTTGGTATCAAGTCAAGTACCCATCTCTAATCATCATAAAACCAAATCCTGAAAGTCTCTGTTTTCCAACGTGGTCCTTTGACAATAGGGAAAAAGGAAATTTTTTGGGGGCACAACTGCTCCTCCGATGCCATTTTAAGACGAAATCTCCAATCTCCACGACGATAATATATCGATTTCCCCCCCCCCCCAACTCCTCAACCGTATCAACGACAAACAAGAAATAAAGGTCCTTTTACATATCTCCGGCTTAAAAATATCATTCGCTCGAATGACAAATAAGAAGAGGAAAAATAAATTTCGCTCACTTATTCCAAATACCGGGGCGGCCCGGCGTAAACTCCCAAAGTTACTGCAACGTCCCACACGGGCCCCTTTGATTCCCCAACGAGTAAAAATTCGCGCAAATAATGGCCATCGGACCTCATTAATTCGGCAACCGGGTAACATCATATCTGTAAAGCGCACACATGTATTATATGTATATATACCTACACGTGCACGCGTATCAAAGCAATCCCGTGCACCTGACGCTAGTCCCGAGGCCCGTACCTGCAGCATCGGCATTCAATTAGAATCCTCCGATCGAAAATCAAAAGCCATAAATTCACGAGAACATCCCTCCTTGGAGGAAAAAAGTTCACGGCTCCGCAAGCCAGGATAGAAAAAAGAAGAGGGACGCGCATGCAGCCGGTCGCTCCTCCGATCGAACCTGGTGCGAATTTGAATCGAAAAGCGACGAAGGACCGAAAAAAAAAAAAAAAAAAGAAGAAAGAGGTGGACGCGCAAACAAGTCCAGCATTTCAGAGAGTGAGAGCACCCGGCTGTTGATTACTATGCCCGCGCAGCTCACCTATCGTACGTGTATACAGACACATATGTAATATTATAAGCTAATACTTGTAAAATCGAAGCTTCTATATACGTCATACCATGTACTTATGCAAGACAACTCGGCCGTATTCCCTTGGTACAGGAGAGAAGAGACGGACACTGAGTGGGTCATCTATTTTTTTTTTTTTTTCTTTCCCAAACAAACACGCTCGCGGCTTGATTTTAATTACACGAATCGTCACTTGGATTTACGAGCTCCCCTTTCCCCTTGATTAGGCCTCCCCCCCCCCTTCCTTATCTGCAGCTTTCGGATGGATCTGATGCGTGTGTGACGCGTAAGAGCGGCAAGAGAGGAAGAAGATTTATATTTATTGACCGGCACTGATGTTGACATCGGGTGGACCTCCGAGGTGGAGGATGAATGGCTCCAAGCGGTAGAAGGGGCAAAGGAGGCAAGTGCCTCAAGTCACGAGAAATTCGGGATTTTATATAATTTTTTTTTTTTTTTGTAAATACTCGGCTGACGGACATTAATCCAAGTTATGGCTTCTCCGCGTCTATATGGGATCCATACGTGTGCACGTGTTTTATTGAGATTACAATGTTTCGGCCGGCGATGAAACGACTGGAGGGGGGGTGGTCCAAGGTTGGGAATACGTTATTTTCAGTCAAAGCATCGACGGGTATAATAGCTATGCTGTGTATACGAGATTTATGCGCTCGTTCCGAAATCGATCGTTCGAGTGTCGGTGATTAATGGCTTGTGTGCGCGTTAACCGCGCCTTTTAATTGACTTTCGAATCGGTTCATTAATCCGATGAGTGGCCCCCCTTTTTTCACTCCATCATCGTGTTTCCCAAGACTGCACTTGTTCATCTTTGACGAATACAAAAATACGGAACGACGGCAAAAGCAAATACAAATTCCCACAAAATAGTGTGTAGGTCAAGTTTACGAGTCTTTTCGTGGATTTTTTCACCCTCACAGGATATATAACTTTTGCGTCTATTATCCGTACGTAGGTGTACATCTGTTGTACCTTTGAAGGATTTTTCTGTCCTCATTGTTTCTCATATGTCCATCTTTTTTTTTTTTTTTTTCATTTTCAATCGAGATGTCTGTCTCGCTAGCAACGGTATGAACTTTGCCACTTTTCTAAAATGTCCTTGCTCAACGATTCGTAATTAACATTGCTGGTGTACCACAATGACACGGGTCAAAAATCCATCCTGTGTGGCAGGCGAAATTCAGCCGATCTCTCTTTCCCTCCGGTCCACTCTCAGCCTTGATATCGTCCATTTATCTAATTCAGCCAGTGGAGGAAGGCCAAGAAATCGAGTGTGTGTGGGGGGGGGGAGGGAGACAAGACGGAGCGGTGCATCAGAAAACGGCGCCGAAGGAGGTGTGCGCTCGTTCCCCTTTGGCTGATGCGAACGAATGCTCGCTCGCATCGAATGAATCACACCGATCGTGTTTAGCATCGGTATACATATACATTATATAGGCTGTGTCTCTTCTGATCCCGCGTATAATGGCGCGTTTTGTTAATGGAGAAAAAGAGAGATGGAGATGGATACCCACAGAAAGAGCCGCCATCTCGGGGTGTGTGAGTGCGTGGGTATATTTATATGTACAAGAGGCGCTACGAAGGAACTGGTTCTTCGCGATCTCCCCTGTGCTCTGACTTTTATGTGCGATCGCACGTGATGCAAGAGACGTCAGAAATCGCACGATGTATGGGCACTTTATTCTATGTTGTGTACAAATGTATGTATACGTGTGCACTGTGATGGCACCGCCCTGTATGCGATGCCGCTTTTTGCTCCGGCTTCTCAATGTATTTAAGGAACACACGCGCGGCTCGTTACTTTCGGCTCTCCTGTCGAACCGCCTTCATAATATAAGTACGTGAGCTCTTGTTTACGATTTGATTTTTTTTTTTTTTTTTTAATATTACTTTTCACTCTCACGGGAATCGTAATCGATTGATTGGTTTTTCGTTGGATGAATAAGATCTACTAATAACGATCGTTTGCATGAGTTCTTGCATGAGGAAATTATGTTATCAGAGTATCGGTAGCTCGCTTACGCAATACATTGGAAGTGGATGAAAACCTATTTCACATCACAACAATTGAAATCAATCATTTGACCAAGCACACGGCTTTTTTTGTTTAATGAATTCCGTTGTCGTGTACGTGCAATCTAGATGAGTAAACGCGAGACAAATAATCGTGCTCGGAAAGTATACTTGTCAAATGGTACGTGTAATCAATCCTTGTAGAAAAACAATCGAGTTTTGTAAAGTATAAAAACGATTCCAGCGCAAACTCGACAGCCCGAAAAGCATCCACACAATAGATAACTAATGCGACAACCCTATCGAGATGACGAACGCCCGAGCACGCGAATGAAAATTTCACCGTCGACCAATCGCGGATCTCCCACCTGCGTCATTGTGTATACGTAGGTACTTATGCATAAGTACAATAGCCGATGCATAAAGCATAAACGCTCATAGAGCAAAGACAGACGCGTCCCAAAGACCACGCAAAAGAGATAAGAGCCAGAGCGGAGGGTGGATGGATGCACATGCAGCAGAAGGAAGAAGCAGCTCCTGGCATATCGGGCTCGTCGTCTTCCCGTACACTCGTGATTTCTCATGGGCGGGGGCGTCCTTTACACAATGTAAAAGCGCGGCGTTACACTTGCGCGGCCAATTGTGGCCCAAGCCCCGCTCGAGAGGACGGCCCCGGATATATATCGCTTGCTCGCACACACGCGTTTTCCACCCCCCACCCCTTTGACGTATATATACATACGCCGTTGGCCTCTCTTCCTTCTCCTCGCTTCGCTCTGATGCTCTTTATCTCGCGTTCGTGTATATGTGTGTAGGCTGTGTGTCTCCCTGCGCCTGTCCACCTCTGCTCCTTTCTTTCTCCAGCGCGGCGAAGGGCTACACCGTATCAGCCGACCCACCTCCTCGTTCTCTCGCTGCTTCCGCCATACATACGTGTATATGTGGGCCCGCGCGCGCGAGCGCAAGAATTTCTCGGTAGCCAGCAGGAGCTATCGAAAAAAAAAAATCGGATGCCCTTTTGTTCGCAACATTCTTCGCTGTGTACTATAAATCGTCGCTCGCCTCTCCGCAGCTTCTCCTCCTCCTTCTTCTTCTGCCTTATATACTGCAGTTTTGGTTCCGCGTGTTGCCGGGGCAGGGGGAAGGCAAAAAAAAAAAAAAGATAACGATTTCGTGCGCCCCCTCGCCTTTTGTGTGTGCGCGTATCTTATACACTCTTTCTCCCGTATGCGCGGTCACTGCCTGGGTGTATTTGCGCGCTACCGTTGGGGGCTACTATTAACCGCGGTTGCGTCGAGTACTCACCCTTGGGGTACTAACAGGTGGATCTCGCGGCTTTGCTTCGATTCGGCTTTTTGGAAATTTCTTTTTCGTTTACTTTTTTCAAACCAAATGAAATGCCTTGAACGTACAACTCAAATTAATACATTCACATGTATGTATTATAATATGTTGTGACTGTTAATCATAAATATTTACTATAATAAAGTATAGCGCACAAAGATTACAATGTGGGACACATGCAAAACCTTAACTAACGAGATACAAATTAACCCACGAAACAGGCACACACTCAGGCAGCACATACTGCGTCATGCTGGTAAACAGTACAAATGTGGGTTACCAGGTTGCCCGATCATCCTCCGCACCGCAAACGAGTTGAGGAGACACAGGGAACTCGTGCACGAGAGTACCAAAGAAATCAGGCCATTTAAATGCAACGATTGCACCTACGCTGCGAAAACAAACGTCCAGCTTGCCAGGTGAGTCTTGCTTTGTTTTTCTAACGTATATATGTTACTAAATGACTAATAAACCTCGAGGTGCATTGACGTTACCAGCTTGGTAAACGCCGAATCTACACGTAACTCTAACAAAAATTGAACAAAAGTCACCTTGGTTATCTCTCCACATCTGGGACCATTTCCCGATGAAATTCGATAACCCAAAGTAACAGCATCTTTGTGATTTTTTTTTATCTCTCACTGATTATATTACCAATAATTATAAAACATTGTAAGTCATCGAGAGTATAACGTTAGGATTCATTACGATACTAAGCGATGGCAGTGGTGCCAACTAATAGTAGTAAAATTTCAAGGTGCAACAATTGCTGTGATGACGATTCAAATTCACGAGCTCGTCACGCACCTCGAGCTGGTCACCAACGTTATTATGATAATAAATAATTGTTGGCCGTGTGCGACATTTTTTTTTTTTTTTTTCTCTTGGCTAACAAATGGCGACACGTGCACCTGTCCCCTTACACTGTACACCGCGTGCATATACGGTATACGCATCGTATGTACACGGCTACCCTATACACACACATACCTACCGTTAATTTATCACGCGCGTGTATGTGCGGGCGCGTGCACACGCACACACGATTTCGCGGGGCGCTCGTTTCATAATTCATGGAGTGAACGCGGGCGCGTCGGGGAAAAAAGAAAAAGACGTGGAGAAAACAATCGCCGGGGATGCATATGCATTTTTCGGTTCGGCGTAATGGACGGGTAAATGAGGGGCTTATTTATTACCTCGGCGAAGGAGCTGAGATGTGTTACGAGCTGCGTGCGTTGGCTATCGGAGCCCCGATGGCTTCATCTCCAGCTATATGGTTACCTCCCCCTGGTCCTTTTTTTACGCAAGTGAAAGGACTTTTTTTTCACTTTCATAAAGAATGTCAGCTGATTTGTTTGGTGACCCATAATCAACCTAGACGTGTACTGAAACAACTAGGTAAATAAGTATTAAAAAAATGGCACCCCAGGGGAAAATGTTTCTGCACCGCAATTCATACCCTTGGAGCGGAGTAAATAAAGCGCAAAGTCGTACTGTCGCCAACTTGAATTTCCACTAAACGCCCTGCCTGGACGTATAGACGCGAAACACAGTGCAGAGAGGAACGTACGAGGGAGGGAGAAAGGAAAAAAAAAAAAAAAAAAAAAAAGGTTCACACTTTGCCGCGTATAAAGCATCGGGAAAGGGTCCTAAAAACACACGCGGTGCAGCAGCGGAGGGCGAAAGAGATTCATCTCCCGCGGACCCGGGGGTAGGTACATTTAAACTTTTCTCGCGCGTCCTCGTTTTCAATTTTCCGGCAATTAAGTGACCCTACGCTCTCTCTCTCTCTGTGTACTTTTCCACTCTCTTGTTCGCTGCGTGGCCATCACCCTCTCAGAGAGCTGATACGGCCACGGTCGAACGAACAAAGAGACAGAGAGAGATAACGAAGAAAAAAAAAAAAAAAAAAAGACGCGCGAATGTTAAAGTGACGCGCGAGAGGGGAAGGGTGAAAAAGTAAAAAGAAAATGGACAACCGTAAGCTGCAGTGAAATGTGTGTAGTGCAACGCTCGGGTGTTCGTTTCCGAGGGGGACGATGGGCGATGGCGCGCTAAACACTCGGTGGGTGTATTGACAAGCCGCTACGCTTGTTTGCCGACAGCGATCCCGATGTTTCATTGCTAATAGAGCCTTTAAGTACATACACGAATCACCATTAAAGTTCATTGTTTCGTTATTGTCGCTATACATTTGTTATAATAACAACATAAGAATACTTTGCAAGTTGCAAGCTTAAACTTAAGAATAGTGAGTAATCAGCAATCGTCGAGTTTACTGTTTTTCGCTGCTAATCGTTTAGCCAACGTGGGTCATGTTTAGCTTATAATTATGCTGAAATGTATATTTTCGCTGTGACGCGTGCCCAGTCCATGACTCAAGTATATCATTGCTTTCGATGTTGCGCGTTATCGTTCATCACAACTTTCCTTATCGTTTTCCACGATTGGTTATCATATGCTTACGTAATTGCTCATCATCGCTTATCGTTGCCCATGTAAATACTTTTTCTTTTTTTTTTTTTGAGTTAATAACTGTATACATATCATTGCTAATCGTATAATTTTTGACCTATTTACGCATCATTGACTTAATGTTGTAGCTTATCACAAGTTTATACTTATCATTGTTTCCATTATAGCTATTGTGCCCATTACGAGTGTGACTTATCGGTGCTTGATTTTTTTTTTATCGATGCATGTTATTGCTTATCACGTGTTTATTTATCACTTCTCATTACAAATCGACTCGTGACTGATTGTCGTCGAATAATCGCTTTCTTCTTTAAATACCAACATTATGACTCATCACTACTTGGCTCTAATGATTATTTACTATCGCTCATTATCATCCGTTACAAGTTAACGCGTTACAAATTATCGTTTAATGAACTTGTTATTAGCTGGAATTTCATTACTCACATTTGGGTATTTCTCACTATCAATCATTTATCCATCAATGGTTGTACCACTGCTTATAAATAGTTTCTTTACTGATAATCTTGTCATTGCTTGTCACGCGTTTCTAGCTTATCATATGTGAATATTATTACTTTATCATCGTTGATGATTATAAATACATGAAAACACACTTAGTGAAATAAAAACCTCGGGGTGATAATTAACAACCGTAAAAAATCACTGCAGTGAGCAATCCAATTCTTTGGATGACAGAAAATTTCTTGACCCTCATTCCGTTAGATATTTTCTTTTAATTAAAAAATTCTTTATTTTTAATTACGAATTTCTTATTTGCTTGTACGAAGTGATTTTTTTGGATCGACTAATTGTTTGTCAATTAAAAGAAAACAGTTGAAGGGAACGAGGATGAAGAAATTTTCTTTGATCCAAAGAATTGCTTGCAACCTTCAACAGTGACAAAATGTACGGCTCCCTCCGCAGTTTTTCGGATCTTTCCTCAAAAGTTCATCCAATGCACATCACCCCAAGCCCCCATAACAGCGACGAGACAACAAAGCCCAGAAACAGAAAGGACAAAGCGCGTACAACCATCACTGTATACGCGCTACTCTCTCTCTCTCTCTCTCGCGCAGGCGGGAGTAAATCACGCGGGGATTTTAATTAAACGTGTCGCGCATTTCGAAGACCGACATATAGATACACCCTCGGGTATATCTGTGTAGGCCCGCGCTTACGCCCCAATGGCTTTCCCTCTCTCTTTTGCCGCGCATGCCACGCAGAGATCGCTCCCAAGCTCGGTAATATCGCGCACGCATATCGCATCAGTCATAATCAGTAATCGCCTGCGCTTTCGGTCCATAGACTACCATAAACTTGCACGGGTGGAGGAGGGGACACTTGGCCTCTCTTCTCCCCCCCCCCGTGCACATACACGGCGATAATCGCCTCACCACCCCCCTCCCAACTCCCTTTTCTCTGTATAAGCAATGCTGTTGTATGCGTCCTGAGTACCATCGGGATATGGTGTACCGCGCGATCGAAAATGATTAACACGTTTGTTTGTCTACCTGTTTCTATACATACGTAAGTACATTATATTATAGCGAAAGCTATTTTCCTGTTTGATCTTTTTTTTTTCTTTAATTGATCATACAAGTTTGTGTCAACTAATTCCTTTTTTGTCAATGTTTTTTATAATAACGGGTAATAAACCATAATCAGTCAAAGTACGTACGCACGCGTGGGAAAAATGTAACAACAACACCTCAATGGAGTTGAATACTATCTAGTCCAAAGTAAAAAAGAAAAAAAAAATATAGTTGTTGGCATTTAATCATGCGAGAAAACAGTAAGATTAAAAAAAAAAAAGAAAATTTATTTTTTGTTTCACAGGCACAGGCAAATCCATGACACACCAAACGAGGACAATCCGGACAGTCACGTGTGCTCGTTCGAAGGCTGCAACTTCAAAACTAACAACGGCTCGCACATGAAGCGGCACTTTCGGCTGCACAGCGGAACGAAGCCTTACAAGTGCCGGTACTGCACCTACGCGAGCAACAACGTGGTAATGCGGAAAATTTTGCTTTTCAATCGAATATCAAACGAAGAACCAACTGTTAGTTTTTACATCCTATTTTCCACCTGATGAAACTTTTACCCAAATACAACTCTCCCAGGCGTGTAGTTATATAGGCAAAGTCGGGTCCCCACCGAAAAAGGGCCAGCGTAGGTATGTAAGACCAAATCACATCAGCCAGACTGTGGACGTTGTCTGCTTACACGTTTCACGCAAAAGAAAAAAAAACGGGAAAAAATTAAAAAAAAAAAAAAAAGAAAGAAAAAAACACCTGGAACCTCGAGAGAGCCGATGCGCGCGCGTCTTTGAAAAAAAGAGTACAGCAAACAAGCGAGAGACCGGCTTCCCATAAATCTCGAATCCGGGCGCTGATTAACCTTATCGGAACGCTCTCCCGGAGCTACTCTCGTTCATTTCGAGAGAAGAAGAAAAACAGAGGAAGGAAAGCAATCGTCGCCGGACCCACCGCGAAGTGGTAGCCGCACGGCTGCCTCGATTAGCCCCCGAGTGAAGGAGAGAGGTATAGCCTCACCCGCGAGTGTCTTTACTCTTTTTTCTCATTCCTCCCTTTGATTGTTACGACGAGACGCGCGTTGTTGGCCAAAAGAGGATTAAAGAATCGCGTTTTGTTTAGAAAAATCGAGTGACGATGTGCGCTCATTTGGTAAAATCACTTGTACTTGTATCTTCTGAAGGAATTTCTTGTGTTATTTACGAAAAATGCCAAGCCAAACTGCGGTTTTTCAATGCCACCTTCAAAAATCGACATAAAATTTGAGGGTGCATAAACAAAAGAGATGAAACCATTTAGTTTGGGGGAACGAAAAAAAAGTCAAAATACACGGGGGCATCGTTGTCGTAGTATAGCTTTCATTGTACCGTTCGAACGCAAGAAACATAAGATTTGCTATACCACTTAGGAAAAAAACCGATCCAAAATCCAGACTTACAAAAAAAAAAAAAAAAAATCTCAATAGCTTTAAAAGATAAAACGGTCCAGAGCCGCCGCAAACGTATTCATTAAGGGACCAAAGTGACGAGCGTCAACCGCATCGGAAGACCGTATAACGATCCGATCGGCCGATAACGACACCACACGAGCCCTCCCCTTGGATACCAGCTTCGCAACTTTTCTGACCAAAAAAAAAAAAAAAAAAAAAAAAAAAAAAAAACAAAGCTACACAGAAGAAAGAGAGAGAGAGCGCGGGGTGAGGTACTGTAAGTATCCCCACGGGTACATAAAAAGCTCGAAATTATGGATTCCGCGGATCGCCGCGTTATCGCAAGCCGCGCTCTCGGGACTCCGAAACGCGCGTGTCCACACCACGCACACCTGTTTCTTTCATCAGCATAAAGCTGTCGGCGAGCTCGCGCTTACACGCCCAGCCGTGGTACACGCATACGCTTTCGTAAGTGGAGACGAGGATGAGAATGAGAGAGAAAAACAGTCGACCAAGAGGGACGTACGGAAAGGAGAACCATAAGAAGGATGGGGACCACCGATGGGTTAGCGTGTACGAGCTCTCTTTTTTTTCCTCCTTCAAACGCGACTTTGACTCCGGTTCTGTTTTTTTTTTTTTTTTTTTTTTTTTTTTTCATCCTAGTTTATTTCCGTGCACTCGCACAGTTTTTGTGAATGGTCACCCGTGAGTTTTTCGATTCCTGTTGGACGAGCTCCGATTGCGAACAAACCAAGTCACCATACGCGCGCACAAGCCTCGATGTTTTTCGGATACTCTCGGGGCGGAGGAGAGACACCAGAGCCGCCGGTCCCACGCGATAAGATAACGAGTTAATTGTGCTCACCGATCGCTCCTGGTGCCCACACACACCCCGGCTTTCGCGTCTTCGTAGACTCCTCCGCACGGACGGGTATGCTAATGCCCGGGGCTGCCCCGATAGCGCGAGGCCCTTTTCCAATGGCTCTCGGGGCGTTGCGCGGGTGGTATTCGAACGTTAAGAGGATATAAAAAAAAGGGGGGGGGGTTCGCGGCGCCATACACGGTAGCCCCATGCGGAGCGACGATCAGCGGGTGTGCTAATTACCGCGGCTCGGCGGCTCTGATAAGTGAGCTATTCCGGCGGCTCTTTATTCGCTTGTAGGTGGGAAACGTGTTTTGTGCATGCCTCCGTTGTTATTTATTTATTTTTTTTTTTTCATCATCAAGGATTTTGTCAACTATTCCCCTGTACCGTGTACGCGGGTAATCGACGCGCATGCAGTTAATAGCTTGATCGTAAATTTCGTCAGTGGCCGTGTATAATCGCTGCTATTTAATTGAATGATTTTGTCGATGCACCTACGGAAGAGTCGGCGAAGAGAAAAATCGAATAACTCCCGATCGTTACTACCTCGGCCGAGGCCCTAACTCGGTGCTACTTAAGGTCCATTAAACTTCTCAATCCGGCCGGAGGAAAGGATCCTCAAGATGCATCCGTTTAAACGCGCGCTTATACGCGATTATACGCGTACGTTATTCCGTTTCATTGCTCGGGAAGGATGTATTTTTCGGCAAAGATGAAGACACGTAGCGTATACTGTTTATGCTCGAGTCTCCATTTATATACACCCTTTGAACTCCCTCAGGTGAGGATATATACACCCGTGCTGGATGTATACTATACCCTTCGCCTACCGGTTTTGTGGGCAATTGTTCGCCACGTACGAGTCACTTCTGCCCGAAGATTTGCCAACTCCGCGTGCACTTACTTTATTTTCCTGTACGTATCGTGCCCAACACCGTCTTCATAACCCACGCTTTTCTTTCTTTTTTTTTTTTTTATTCTCTTCTTCGAGAGACTCGTACGGACTCTTTGTGCCAGACGAACGAGCCGCCTGACGATTAAATCAGTCGAGAAAGGCGGAGGTAAGAGGGTCGAGTGCTAAAGAGCTCGGTGGTTTGCGCACGAGACGCACGCGGAGAATCACGACATTGACGGGTTTACGCTTGGCACTCTTTTTTTGGGCCTTTTTTTTCGAGGGACCAACAACCTCTCATAAAAACTGCTGGGAGGATCGAAGAGTGCCTGAGGGGACTGGACTGGATTTAGCGCCAAATTAGACCCACGAATGACCACAAGGATTTGAGAGGAGTGAGGGGATCCGGGGTCGTAGAAGCTTGAGAATAAAAAACGGGACTTTCGGGAAGGACTTGATTTGTCTGTGCATTATCCCCTTTGATGTATACACTAAAATGGTCCCCCTCATCCTGGGATGATGATTAATCTCTTTCGATTTACTTTCACAGGAAAACCTCCGTAAGCACGTGCTGTCGACAAAGATCCACGTCGGCAAAACGATCTACCAGTGCGAGTCGTGTAGAGCCGGCGAGGCTTTCGGGACCAACTACTCGAAGGAGCTGCGCGCCCACTTGCTGGAGTCGCATCCGGACGAGTACCCAACCCCTGACGCGGCCAAACGATACGTCGACGATATTTTTCAACAATCGGCAACTCTGTGATGCACCAGGTTATACCCGTTCCTTTGATTTTATGATATCAGTATGACAAGCGCACGAGGCTACAGTTTCATATTTAAACATTGGTTTGTAAGTAAATGTTTTTTGTGTCTTTGCAAACATATTATACATTTACATGTATGTTAAATAAGGGGCAATTCTTCGTCTTGTTCTTGTAACCAGTGATAAATATTTGTGGCGTAAAAGTCTTTTTTGACGAAATTAAAATTCCAACTTGCCTCGTTCCCGCGCTCGATAAGTTCTCGGTTGAATGTTTATGTCCTTTGGGTAAAAAAAAAGGTAAAAGACCAATTTGGGTGAGTCTTCGAGATGCAGAAAGAACAACCCACAGCTGAGGTAACGCAAGTAGCGATCCTTGTATGTATATCCACAAGGGTCGGTGATTCACGTCGGATAAGCGCGACGAAATGGAAGTATTTGATTGCTGACGTTGCGATTCGAGTAAAAATCGTCCCGAAACCAGTTGCCTTTTTCTAATCCTTTACCGAAGCACTTACGGGCGCGGAGGGCAGATTTAAACATCGAAGCACTCGCTGCTTCCTGTATATATAACAGAGCAACATACTACAGGGTGATCCGAGAGCTTCCAATGGGATATTTCTAGATACTTTGGGAGCCATTTGAATTTGTTACGGTGATTTGAAAAGCCGATTGGACCGTGGAACGATTACTTTTTATTTTCCATGTTTTTTGCAACGATGATGCGTGTGGTATGCCATCAGCGAATCTTCCATCATATGTATATAATTTTATGGACAATAAAGACCCAAAGACTTGTACACTAAGTGTATAATATTTTTCATAACTCGAATGAAACACAAATGCTCTTCTTCTTTCAGATGCTACCGAACAATTAAAAGTTTTTTTCTTCTTCTTTTAATTGCCGATTACCACTGCAACGGGAAATTGCGAAAACATTGTGGGCTTAAAAATTAATGAAACCTAATCACGATGGTACATATATCCAACACTCCGCATTCTCAAAGAGCCATGCGAGTATACTGCACGAGGGTATATTCATTTTAAATAATATAATCCTTATTACTGCGCTGCACACGTATACTTCCGGCGAGATAAGAAAATGGAAACAAAAAAAAAAACATCTAGACAGGGGTTTCATAAATAAACGCGATCAGCGAGACGCAGCGAAATTACTTTGAAATTACATGTGGAGCATTCCGGGGAGCATATACATGTATAAAAGTGTTCGAGACAAAGTATCGCGCGGGCAACTCGCTCAAAAACAAATTACCATTTATCTCTGGCCACGTGCATACGCGTATACGTACAACCGATAACACCAGCCCTCTTGGATTACTCGAAAACAAGGGGTGGGACGATTCTCGAGAAGTTCGCCCAATAGACAAGACTTCAATTAAACATTCAAAACGGACCATTTTTCCGCGCTCGCAAATCACATCACGCATATGATTCACGACCCCCGTACCGCGACCTCTCGACTTTTCGCTTCGATATCGAACAAAAAAAAAAAAAAAGATCTTCCCCTACAAAGCAAAAATCCTGAAAATCACGATCTCACCCATCGTCTTTGCATATACACGTATAAGAAGGCTCGAGCGTGCGCATATTATCGTAAATACCGCGCAAGCTCGTCGCTACAGTACAAGTAGGTATATATGTATATATATATATTTCGGGGCGCGGAAATTCGAGTCGCCGTAACTTACGATGCCTCTCCCTAAACAACATAGTCCGGCTTGACCGGCGTGACGTTAAGTATACACACGAGCCTCCCTCCTCTTCTTAGGGAGCCATCAGCTATCCTCGCCCCGTAAATAACCTAGTGCACACGCAGCCCCCGTCTTTTGGCCTCTTTTATGAGAAACAGACCTGATACTTATTGCACTGCGAAGCGTTTCTCCGATTACCCCCGTTTCCGCGCGCTTCCCTACACATCTATTACGTGTACATGTGTATACGCATCAGCCCATATACGTATAATAATAATAATGCACAACCACGCGGCACGAATACGCGTTCGCGGTCGTAAGCACGTGTGCGTGTGTATACACCTTTCATGGGGTATGGCCCCTTTTGAAGATTCCTATCTGTAAGGCATGTACAGGTAGTACATACACGCATTACAGGTAGTTACACGCACGAATTTTACGAGGGATCCCTCCATGCATGTATATACTCGTGGCTGCTGTACATACCCCGCGAGCTCGTTGCCCTCGATGATTTGCGATGATTGGGCCGTCATTGCCCATGTCTAAGTGTTACTTTTATCCCTGTCTCTACATTTATTTCAGTATAGCTGAGAGAGAATAGGAGGTACTTCTTTTGGGGTACCGTGTGTTTATTCCCGATCGCCGTATGGACGACTCGTGCCCTTTTTCGCCGAGGAAAATTTTCGATCGAGCGTCCATATGTATACCCACTTTTGAGATAGAGACTATATATACGTATAAGATGTGTGTTTGTAGAAGAAGAAGAAGAAGAAGAAGAAAACCGCTCCTGTGATAAAATCGTCTCCTCGGGCATCGAGCTCCCACACGCCCACGACACCCCCCTTGCGTCCCGTGTCCACCAGCGGCAGGAAAGAGAGGGCCAGAAGCAATAACTCCTCGGAGGGTACCCGAGCCCCTCTCCGGTCACCTCGAGGCCGACCGATTCCCGAAAAACACCGGACCTATATACCATTCGTTCTCCCTCCCCGTTTTTTCGCCATCAGCCACGGGGTGTCGTAAACTATGCGTGGTGTCTTTGCACGAGGGCCCGCGCTAAAAAATCTCGGGGCCGGGATCGGCAGGTTAAAGGGGCGAAACGACCCGAAAGAGAATGGGAAATCGGCAGGCGCGGACAGGCGCTTAGACGTGGGGAAAAAAAAAAAAAAAAAAAAAAGAACAACAAGCAGTAAAAGGAGAGGCAAGGGGTCCACGGATAGATGGATAAACAAAGATAGATGGACGTGGAGGGCTTTTTCGGGGGGTGTCGAGTGTGAAGGATAATTTATCGGCTAATTAACGGGGATGCCCTTCATTACGCGGGCTACGGCTACTTTCTTCCCAGTAGTCCGGCCTCGTCGTCGGCGATACGTGTACAAGAGTATCTCCGGTGCACCGTATATACATATACCCACCGGGAAGAAACGGAGGTACGAATATTTACGAGCCGGAGAGCGCCACGCTTGTACTTGTGTACATATATATATACTCGCTGGTGCTGCTCCCGTAATGATCCATCCCAATTTCGCGGCGAGCGGAACAGCGGTCAGGAATTTTTCCTTCCCGAAGGTGGACTCCTTATTTTTCCCCTCGCTTGCTCGTCCTTTTATTTTGGGCTCCTTTGCGAGCGCATCTCTAAGTAAGGAAGTCGCGTTCGTCGATGAGTTTGAGAAAAGGGGAGACGAAAGGTCGCACAAGAGGGGTACTGGGGTCGACTTTTTCGCGTGTGTAGGTGGACAACACGGAAAGAAAACAGTGGAAGAGTCAGTATCGTCGCACTGACATGGTCCTGTGGTACACAAATTTCAATTCTTGCAAAGTAACAATTTTTGCCCATTTTGGGCCATTTTTGGCCATTTATGGAACACGTGGTTTTGTTTATTTCCGGATGTTATTCTACTTGTACACTTTTGTGTGTCTTAATGTAGAGTATCAGAGACACACCTGTATTTATTTGACTAATTTTGTGTTAGTTGATAATTTTGATGAGTCGAAATGACTTTTCTTAACCTTTGCCAACTTTGAAGTCACCAAATGGCTTCGAATAACATGTGTACTCAAAGTATTTTTTACCCCGGACTTTCAGAAAGTTCTCACCTCCTCGTGAATATTTTAATAAAGTAAAATCGCGGGGAGGTGGGAAACAAAACTGTAAAACTGATCAATAGAATCGGTCGCGAAAACCAGTTAAGCAGCGGCAACTTTGTAATAATACACGAGATTACCGGTGCACAGCCAAGTACCGGCTCGACTACCACAAAATAAATCGTCCGCACGCGTTGGGACGCGAAAAACAAGGCTCGCTCGTACCTCCCCGACGACGACGACGAGAAAGACTCGCTGGTGCCAAAACGATAAAGAGACGGATGATTGGGTGCCACAGAAGTCACCCATATATACATATACATACCGACTCTCTCTGGGCACGTACTCACGCACAGATGGGAGCTAATGAAGACACAACGAGCGCCGGGTTTGCCCGCAGAGCGACACACCCTCGTCTTGGGTAGGTATTCTCTTTGCTGTATCTTCTTTTCCCGTTTCTTCGTTAACCAACTCGCTCCTCTTACTTCCTCACATACATCCGAACCTCATCTAAACGTAGCATGAAGCGCACGAAGCGGTATTATTATGCATCATTGGATGTATACCTTTTTTTTTTTTTTCTCATACCACCAGAAAAAAAGGAATCTGTAACGAGTTTACCAAACGATTGATCGACGACTTCCACGATGTATTTCTATTTCCCTATGGCTTGTCAAATAAAGCAATAGCTGGCACGATTGGATTTTGACTCCCTAGCTGATTTGTCATTCATGATTTTTCAAGCTTACAACTTTTCGTTTTTGTTTTTACCGTAAATAAGATTCTCATAGTGTGAAAAAACGGGAAAAAATTAAAAAAAAAAAAAAAAGATCTATATGAAAACTAAGGTAGCCGTAGGAGTAATATGCTCGTATACTCCATTCTCCTCTCTGCGCCACACAGCGAAATCCCGCGGATCTCGTTCTCCCAATTACATCGTGAAATTTGTCCCCGAAGACAAGGGATGGGCGCGCGGAGGCCTTGTACGCGTACAGAGACACGAGCTAAGCCACCTCTCCCCCGCGAGCTCTGCGGTACCATAAATACAAGACCAACGCGGACTCGACCGCGAGAGGGTTGATTTCGCACGCATCCCCCTTTTCCACTCTCTCTCTCTCTGTAGCGTTACTTGGGTGGGAGAGGGTGAAACCAAAGAGGCGATGAAGTATGCCCCGACTGAGCCTGCCCTCTCCGTGGTTTGTTGCTTTA